TGACCCCAGTGCCAAAACAAATCTCTTGTCCCAGCACCAGCCTCAAACTCTCCGACCCCAACGCCAACATCACACTCTATGGTCCCAATGCCAGACCGGCCCCAGCGCCAACATCACACTCTCTAGCCCCAGTGCTAGCCTCAAACTCTCCGGCCCAAGTGGCAACAAAACAAATCTCCAATCCCAACGCCAACTTCAAATCCCCAGCCCAGCACCAAATCAAAATCTCCAGCCCAGCACCAAAGAAATTCTCGGCCCCAGCGCCAACATCACACTCTTTGGCCCCAACACCAACACCACACTCTCCGGCCCAAGCACCAGCAAAACAAATCTCCGACACCAGTGCCAACTTCAAATCCTTGGCCCTGTGCCAAATCAAAATCTCCGACCCAGCGTCAAAGCAATTCTCGACCCCAGCGCCAACATCACACTCTCTAGCCCCAGCGCCGACACCACACTCTCTGGCCCCAACGCCAAAACAAATCTCTGGCCTAAGTGCCAACAAAACAAATCTCCGACCCCAATGCTGAAGCCCCAGCGCCAAAACAAACACCACCGGCCTCAAGGCCAAACAAATTTTCTTTTCTTACCAACTAGATTGGGAGCAACGCCCTCCAAGGGAACCCACTAGCCGGGACATTAGGAGGTTCTGTTGACATGGAATGGTAAGCCCTCCACGAGGCAGCCTATCAGCACATCCTCCCAGAAAACGAACTCCAGTAGAATTGGGAAAAAAGCCCCTAAGCAAGGCTCCAGACTGCTAGAGACCACTTTGTCGTCCCTCAGAGAAACGCTCAGCAAGGTCTACCCCTCAAGAACTGCGCTGACGCCGGTGATCAGGAAAAAAATATCTGTTGAGAGGTAATAAATACGTCCTAGTGAGGATTCGAAAGATGAACTTCGACGACAAAATTTTCATTTCGAATTTTGCAGTTTTCGTTTCTCTCGAAGCGTAACATCCGTCAGGGCAAGTTGTTGTACGTCATTTTTTACGTAGTTATATCCCCCACACGAATAAGGAGAGAGTCAGTGATAACTTGGTACTGTTGGTACCCAAGACACTACCAGACCAAAGTTGTACTGCAAAATAAGCCTCAAACTAGACAACCTGGGAAGAGTACAATCATGCCTAAAAAGGACCTTACAACTGTAGCCCTGTATTAGTGGCTTCAGAACAGTACTAGACAACCGCCGTTGCATTCCGAATATTGAAAAAACCCCCAGGACCAAATTTGGGCTCAATCGGACCACCCAAAAGGGTCCTACTCCCAAATTTCCTCAAAACGGATAGGTTTTACACTATCACAGTACGGCTTCACTGAACCAGTCCCCAATCCTGAAGGTTGCGACTTCACATCTCGAAATGGACTTCAAGGATCCATAGAAACTTCGTCTGGAATAAGAAAAAGCTCAAATTTGGACATATTCTAAATCGTGGCCACCCCGTCATTTTGACATAAGGCATGCACCATGGCATGACCTAGAGTCAAACTTCTTCTAGAAAAGAAGATGAGCATGAAACCAGAAAAATCAAGGTTTCAAGAGGAAGACATCTCGAACCTCGTTAAGCACAACTCGAGATCCTCACATCGGATCATCACGAAACCGAGTTCAATGCGACCACCTCACGAAGAGCTGCAAACTGGTAGTCTTGTTGTACTTAATCCAAAGTCAGTTAAGCACAAATCCCAAGGTTACAAAAAACAGCACGTCCGCCTGGTCACCGGAATCCCTTTTTTCGGTGACCTCCCAAATTAAGAAATGCTGCAAATGAAGACCAAAATAAACCAAACTCGGTGCGAAATGACTGTGATATTCTCCTCTTTCATCTGCAAACAAAGTAAAGACTCAAAACATCACAGGTCGAATGGAATTGGCGCTAAAAGTTCACGAATCTAACCAAACTTCCACCCCTCGGAAAAGGGTTGCCTCAGTACAATTAAAGGGCATCAAAATGCCCAAAATCGAACGAACATTGAAGATATAATGGCAAATCGTCTAAACCATCGCTACAATTTTCCGAAAAAGCTTCCAAGATCAAGCAATAGCAGGAGACCCCTCAAAGAGGGATGGTTTCGTCAATAGCACAAAAGGTTTTAGGGGCATTTTGATGATTGTACCGAATTTCGAGATTTTGTTCTAAATTCTTTTAATTCTAATTAAGCGTAGCTTTTTAGCATTCACCCCTGTTTGGTGAGTTCTCAATATAAACAAGCTTGGGTCAAGTGTAAAAAGGCGGATTATTCATCACTCAAATAAAGGCATCACACTTGCTTTTCACTTGTCTTTTGCTCCTAAACCCTTAATCCCGCTGAGAGGAGAAAGAAAACTTTCAAAGAGAGAAAATACCCCTGAGTGCGCACTCCCATTCCCTCTCTTTCCTAAACCAGGCTACACCCCAAGCCCTCTCTCCCTTCCTCTTTAATCACTACCTGCTCTGCACAGTAACCCTGTCCGTGACAAACGCGTGGTCACGAGCAAACTCAAGAGTTCTAACCCTCGAACCACTGCTCTAACTTCCTCTTGTATAGTCGAGTTGAGCAGAGAGACCCACACGCTCTCTTCCTCAGTCACTCGAGAGGAGTCAGCCTGAGCCGGTAGTCAAGAGGGATCCAACTCTTCGGTTGCCTCAAGTGCTTGGACGCCTAGCGCTCGTGCGAAGAGGAAGACCTTCACCACCCTTCCTCCGCACTCTATCCTTTTGTCAGTCAGCCCCCCCTGAGAGAATCGTCACGGAGAGGGATAATCGAACCCCCATCACAATTGCAAGCACGAGAGAGAGAGAAGTGACCTGTTGAATGCCTGAAGAGAGCCCGTGTCCAAACCGCGCTGGCAGACAGCCGGAGGTTTCGTTATTGTTCTCAGAGGACGAACCACCCGGCATGTTCCCCAAAAACCAAACGGCGAGGTAAGCGTCTGAACGTATCCCCGCCGTAAAATCTTTCTCGTTGTTGGTTTCTATCCGCACTCAAGAGAGCTTGCGTACGGGCACCGGCAAACTTGCCACGTGTGCGGACCTCCCGCGATTGTTTGAGAGAGGATTTTCTCCCCGGCGCGCATGTTGCGAGGAACGAAAGAAAATTAGGCCTCGACCAATAAGATTCCTAGTTTCCTCCCTAAATCATAATGATTGATTCCAAGGATGGATGGCTCAGATTTGTTTCTCTCTGACCTCACAAATTACCTAAGAGTCATATAGCCAAGATGATTCTAATTCAGACAGGCACATCTAGACCCTCTTGGTTGATATCATTATTACATGAAGTGATCAAGAAGGAATTAATAAATTGAAGGAATACCTAAGACAGTATGCTCAGACGAAAGACTTGAGAGAGTTTAGGCATTCTCATTGGATTGAGGTAGCAAGGTCCAAGTATGATAATAGTCTATCCCAAAGGAAATATGCAATAGATTTGTAGACAGAAATAGGGATATTAAGTGTTCAACTAGTTGATATGCCATGTCTCTGTTCTGCTGAATTCAACCCCGTATAAACATTAATGATAAGTCTACTTTCATGGCTTGTTCTAGAACATGATAGCAAAGATGTCATAAGGTGTTATTATCTCTTTGTTTTTCTTCTCTGTCTATATTTTTCAAAGGAGAATAGGCGTTGCAAATGCAAGATTTTGTGCATGATCGGTGAAATAAATAAAAGATGCTAAAAAAATCTGAAATATTTTGTCCATGATCGATGAAATCAATAAAAGATGCTTAAAACTATTTGAAATGCAAACCCTATCACACACAAACCACGCAACCAACAGAAACCCATCAAGTATTGATGATAGATGCAGAAAATCAAGATTTCCCAGATTTTAAGCCTTTTCTAGACCTGGGCAAGTTCTTAGTCAACTTGACAGATTTATGAACCACGATATAGATATGCCCAGTCAAGGAATCCTATCAAAGCACAAGTCCAAGAGGATTTACCATGATGAGAATAACAACTAGTATGCTCTTAGGTATTGTTCACTTTAGACTTCTTCGTATCATGCAAAATAGCCAGTTATATAACTGAGTGTGGAGAGACTAAGATGAACAAGTCAATGATGTGACACCTCAAATAGATCGATCCTTAAAGTATGCCACCAACCATCGAAACAGGATTGGTCTCCATGATAGTGTTCCAAAATTGATCTAGGCAAGTGAACTATTAAACTATTACACATCTCGTACAAGCTTCTCAATCCACATAGGGTTTCACAAATGGACTGTTCTCCCTCATCAGTCCCCCATATATATGGGTGTGCCTAATGCCTTCTCAATGATTCCAGTCATTAAGGAGGATACAATCCAAATGTAGAGTTCATAACTTTAGAAATCAAGCATCGCCATTCTCCTGCCTATGTAGGTTACAAGGAACATGATTGAAATTCAGTATTCCTGGTTAAGTTAAAGAAAGACAATTCATACATCAAATCCAAAATTAAAACTGTAAAAACAATTGACTTTATACAACTCTAGAGAAAACACCAAAGGAACACCTAGACAAGTAGGTCCAAGAGCGAGCGAAGGACAGCAATTCCCTAAGAAAAGCCCATTGTCACCCCAGGTACAAAGTTCCTATAATTTGTTATCAAATACTCATTAGTAGAAATTGTTATACTGTGGAATCCCAAAGGTATTTATAGTGACAGCAAGTCCGTAAAATTTTCCGATCATTGCAAACAAAAGAACAGGACAACCAATGAGCACCCTAGAAAGGATTCTATAAAGGTTCATTACAGTGTACCATTTTAAATCACTTTAGCATCTTCTGTACAACCCAGTAACTCCTGTTGAAATTCCATGATCCAGACCATAAAACCATTTTCAAACGCAAGACAGCTATCAAAAACTTTTGATTCATCAATAGAAAGTGAGGGACGCATAAAAGAAATTGATACAAAACAGCCAATTTGACACCAAGACAAAGTGAAGAGGAGAGCCATGTTTGTCATAAATTCATTTACCAATTGTCCGTGATACAAGCATCTACAAAATGGAAATAAACTGACCAATTCGTAGACAAAGACCAACTCTGTCGTAATCGACGTACAAGCCTGCACAGAATTTAAAGCAATAGAATTCCAATAAACATCTCACTATCAGATTTGAGAACATTGATACATGCGTACTAGCAACACAAATTCTTGACAATATATTAATATCCAATAGAAGAGGTACATATGAAAAACCATTCTACCTTCTCAAAAATGTGCAACGTCAAACCTTCCAATTGCTGTTGCAACCTTCCAGGAACTTCAACTTCAAAAAGTCTCCCAATGTGCAAAAGAGAGGCAATGCTCTAGACGGAAGAAATAACAAAAGGATTCTCGCTCAAACAATACATAGTACAACCATGACTAGAGAGATGTTTTAAAAAAAAGCCCAATAAGCAGCCCAAAATTGTGACCAGAAAGTTGATTTTGTATCATAGGAAAAATATAGGACAGCATGAAGAAAACAATGGTTAGCACATCCTCTGGAATATATAATCAGGGAGCAATGTGATAATACTAAAAGGTAATTTGAGTCAGGAGAACAGCACAATTGAATATGGAGGACTTGCCATAATTAAGGGCCGTCTTGTCACTCACTTTCATGGTTCCATTCAAGTGGAAGATCATGTGGAAATCCTATTTTGGTGTGATTTGATGTGTTCGTGCATGCAAGGATTAGAGAGAGATGGGTGATGTGCTAGGGGAAGGGGATGGAAATGAAAAACAAAAAGAAACAAAAAACAAAAGTCCATGTTTGTCTTTATTTCTTCTTTTCGTGTATAAAAAGACGAGAGAAGGCCCTCACATATAAAGGCACTTTCTTTGAAGAAGAAAGAAATAATGTCCCTTGAAGACACATCCACAGTTAGCTGTTATCATCTTGTTTTTAGTATTATGTTGAGTTTGATATCAAGGTGTTTGTGGCCAAATTTCTCTTCTCTCTACGCCCTTCTCCTGTTGTAAATTTCTCTATGCCACTTATAATTACAAATACAAGATCATTATATCACAATTAACCTAAGGTGAATGCTTAAGAAAATATAAATTATAATGACCCCAAGGAAAGTTACAAGGAAACCTTCAAATACTTACAAAGAAACATTTTTGTGAGGAAATGTTGACTTACAAAGAAACATGAACAAATGTTTTGTTGCATAATAACAAAGTCAAGCTAAACCATAGACATTTTAAATGTAGCTTACATCATTACACAATAATAGACTTAATAAAAAAAATTTTCCTCAAAAAAATTAATAAAGCAAGAGAAGAATTACTATCAGTATTTTAGCTCTATGTACGTCAAAAAAGTGTCCACAAGTTGGATCATATGTTGCAGAAGTCCAGTAAAGAAAGAAATGTGCAACATAATTTTTCTTTTTTTCTGTTCAACCACATGAGATGAAAAAGGATCACCAAATCCAATAAAGCAGTCTCTAATTACCCTAATCTGTGAATCTAGCTCTTAACTCATCAAGATAATATGAAGTTCCTAGTTCTTTATTGCAAGTGTAGGCCTTGATGTATGTTACATCTAAATATCAATTGAAAATGATGATTACATCCATTCCTTATCAACAAATGTACATAATTAGCATTCTTTACAAATGGCTGGGTACAGCAGTAGATGCTTCCTAATGATTTATTTAAGACCATTAAAACATACGCATACCATCTCTCTTTAAACTTCTTTAAGCAAATTCAGGAAGGATCGAATAACCAGAGAGTAGAGACACCCACGCGATGCTTCAAAGAAGAGGTAAAAAGTTTCACATCTAAACCAATCGCCACTTTGGACCTCCTAACCTTTGCATATTCAATTTGCAAAAAGTAAAGAAATGAAAGCTTATATGCAATAGACACCATAGAATAAGGAAACGAAAAAAGTGAACCTACCTTTAATATGGTTGACCATTCATCGATTGTAGAAATCGAACTAGGAGAGTTGAATTTCTTCAAACAAAACAAAACAAATAGTTAAGTTCGGAGTTATCAGATATAAGTCCAAAAATAAACAAAGAAGCAGCATTGAAGTGCGAGGAATCAAGAGCTCATGTAGCAAAGATTCATCGGTATATTTAGAAAGAGAAAGGATAGATCATTCAACAATTACCACCTTGTAAAGGAGGGATATTTACAAGCCATACAAGCCGCAAACAATCTTTTGATATTTTTTATTGGGAACAAGACTTTATTGGTGTGCATAAAGGAGGGGGACAAAGGCTTTACAAGCCTTAACAAAAAAGGTATAACATGAGAGGCATAAAGGCTTTACAATCCATACAAACCACAAACAATCTTTCGACGTTTTTTTTTTATTGGGAACAAGATTTAATTGGTGTGTATATGAGAAATGCCTCAGAAAAGCACGTGTGTATAACAATATCAAATATATCAAAAGGCATGACATTCATAACATCGTATATGATATAGAAAATGATTTTTGGGGCCACTTAAGAAAGTGTACAGCCAAAACGTTGCAAATGATATTTAGTATAAAACAAGCTTTGATTAACCCAACTAAAAAGATCAACGACTTCAGCCTTTGATTATGTTTCAAAATTAGTGCATTCATATAGAATGGTAAGCATTTGAGTCGCCTTTTGCAAGGGGAAATAGGGAAAATAATCCCATCCAAGAAAAGAATTTCACCTTCAGTATGTGGGGAATATCTCTCACAGACTTCAAAGTTTCTCGAAAAGCAACCATCAATTCCTCACAATAGTGAAAGAAAGATATCTTATTCTTGTTAGGTGGGAAACTCCTTTCATGATGAACAATTTATACATTAAAAAACTCGAGAAAAATATTCATTTTGTATTTGAAAAATTGATGTTTATGCTAATTCCACATGGCACTTAGCTCGAATGATGATAGAAAAAATGTACAAGAAGCTAGGAAACGAAGTAGAGGAGGATAGATGAAGGTGAAAATCACAATGAGAATGGAAACTTCTCTTCACCGCTAAGTATTTAAATAAATTTGGCCAATATATCCCTCTTACACAACCAAGCAAATATCTTTTACCATACATCAAACATAAGAACATGATCCATAGTTACCTGAAGCGATTATAAAACCGCATCAATTTAGGAATCGGAAGCACAGAATTGCCAATGCTAAGAAGATTCCTATTTTTGAAATCAACATTCGTACAAGAAAAATCGTGGGGGACGAGATTCCTATTTTCAGGAATCGATATTCGACCAAAATAGGTTGAGATCCCTACAGAGATGAAATTGATATTCCTAGCTCGTTGGAATCGAGTTTCCAACCTAGTTGGAATCAGCCAAAATATGGAATCGAGAGTCTTTCATTTATGGAATTGAGATTCCGATATCTTTAGAATTGACCGACATACCATATATGCATGCTTACATGATTTGTATTACATGATATCTAAAATCTTGGATTTGCAAATTCTCCATTGGATTAATACAATGCATACTTAAAGAATTAAGTAGAGAACGTGGACCATCACTTTGGTTTCTATTGGTCTTTTAATGTCAAAAAAGATGACTACATTTTACAGCTTGAGATTGGGTGTCTAGCTCGAATAGTTTGATGCCTTGAAAACTTCTTGGGGGGGATGGGGAAGTGGTCAAATTCCGGGAAATGTGGAAACCAGTTCAACAAGTGTAGAATCGATATTCACAATTGCAGTATTGAGAATCAACAAATAATAAAAACGAGATTCTATAAGTGTTGAATCAGGATTCCTCAAATAAGGCATCGAAAGTCCAAACTTCATACAAATGGGTTACGTGAAGATTCCTAATCAAAATCACCGAATTGGAGTGCCAAATCGGAACCGCAACCTTCAGTGAGAAATTTGGGTAACTATGCACACATCCCAACAGACCACGAATGCAATGCAAAGAGATAGATGGTCCTTTAAAGGGTGTGATAGAGAAATTTTTCTTATTTAACCTTCGATATACAACAAAAGACTTTTGCTGTCGAGAGAAAGAGAGAGAGAAACCATTCTAAATCTTCACAACAATATCAAAATGTTAAATCAATTTTGAGTTTGAGGCAATTTGCCTCAAAACTAGAAAGAAAGAGAGGAAGAGATCAAATCATAAAAAAAAAGAAAATTTACCCAAAAATCCCTATAATTTATGTTATTCAAAATTTACCTAAATTTTTTCCATTATGAGATTCATACCCATTTCTTTCTAAAACCTTTTTAGAATGATGAAATTGCCCAAATTTTAGATCTTCAAGATTCGGAATTGAGTTAGTTTTTAAAATTTTGGATTTTCAAATCCAAAAATCCGAAATTAAGGTTTTTTCCTAGTTTTTGGATAATGAAAATTCTGAAATTAAGAATTAAGTTAATTTACTATTATGAAACTAGCAGTGAACTACCTTGGCCATAGTCATCTTCTCTCCAAAGCGTTGGAGGTAAAGAGTTATTTTAGCAGAGAGAGAGAGAGAGAGAGAGAAAGAAAGAGAGAGGCATCCATTCTCATACAACATTGGATGACATTGCTTGGCTAAGGTGGGGGTTCGGTAGGTAACAAATGTTTGGAAGAGAGAGACTATTGTTTTCTCTAGGAAGAGGGATAAAGAAATAGAGGGATTTCTGATTCCCTTTTCCTCTCCTCTGTTTTTATGTCCTCCAAGAATTTCCAAGTTTTCGTTTGTTTCCTATAATTATCTAAAGCACCACGTGAATTAACTATTATTAGTTGAAAGGGCAGAGACCTCAAAACATTTATAGTAGGATAGGAACCAAATTTCAAATTTAAGCAGCAAAGCATGCAAAGCTCACTTTAATTTTATGTTTCAGTGAGAAAAAGGATACAGTATTGAGTCGATCGTTCAATAAATCAAGGTCTAATATCGGCCTCAAAAACCAAGTTCTGGAAAGTAGAAACACCTATTTCAATCTCTTAAAGCTTTCAGAGATTCTAAATAAAATGCATCACCAGCTTTTGTTTTTAACATTTGCCAAAGAGTTTACCTCATGAGACGCCTGCCCATGGCTGTAACACACTGCAAATACCAGAAACAGTTTAGTCCAAATTTTAGCATGGCAAGATAACCCTGAAATCATGTAACCATTAAATACCTTGTTCAACATCCCAAAAACCGAGAACCTGCAAATTTGAGAAATTCATGAGGAATGCTTTAACATTTAAGCAATATAATCATCCACAAGCACAACTTACCCCTCCTTTGCTCTCCCTATGCCCATATAGCTTGGATGCTTGTCTACTTGGAAAATCTGCAGTGCCTCATGAGCAGTGGCATCAACCTTGAGAAAATTCCGTCTATTGCTTGCTTAAGTTATCAACATCAACCTGGCTAACTAACAACACCAATAAAAACACAGTAGCATAGTATGGAGGATACAGTGAGATCTCTGTCACACAATCTATGGTTATCAGCGCATTTCCAGATTCCACCTGCCCAACGGTATCAACAAGCATCTCATTCTCTAGAATAGCAAGAAGCCCGCCAGTTGTGCGAACTAACATTTCATTTCCAGTATTCATCATTGAGTTCAGCTGTAGTCAACAAGGGAACATTTAGGCTGAAAAAGACATTCAAGGCAATCTATTTTACAGAAAAAAGTATCAGTACAGAATAACATCATAATCTACAAGACAAGATTAGATTGCAATTAAATACAATGTACACCACGCACTCAAAAGGAATCCAAACAACAGATGATAGAAAGCATAAAATAGCTGTTAATATCTATGGAACTTGGAACACATGTCCAAAGTTATGGGCACATGCCAAAGACAAAAGACATGTTTTTGAAACTTCAAATACTTTGCATAAATTTACTGTTTGAAGTTTTACTATGACAGTCCTCAACGTTACTTAAAGTCCCACCTCCCACCCCCTCAAAATGACATACAGACGTATCAAATCTGAAGAAAAATGAGGTTCTCAAAAACACTCTTATGTCCTTGTATATAATACAGACTTATCAAATCTGAAGAAAATTGAGTTTCTCAAACACACTCTTATGTCCTTGTACATAGACTTAAGACCTTTAAACGAAATTCATAATCATTACTCTGGCAACCAAAGCAGTTTTTACAACAAAATCCAATTATAGCAGCTAAAAAATAGAATTCCACTATGTGAAATTGTGAAGCGCCTGAAATCAACTTGAATTCCAAATGTATGAAAGAATATAAAATTTCACTGAAAGAATCTCAAGAGTAGTCAAAGCATATATAAAACTCCACTGTCATTTAAAATGGAAGAATCCCAATGAACCAACAGAAATACAAACATATCAAACACCACATGTCATGAGATATGCCCATTCCCTGTGAAGAATTCAAGAGACCAATATTCCTTTTGACCAGTTCTGATATCTAGAGAAAAAAAGTACTGTCTAGAAACAGAAGTACCGCAATCTAGAAGAAAAGTACAATATTCTAGAAAATATAATGTATTAGAATGAACTTTTGGCATCAAAAGCTGCCAGATTCACATAACACGCATATTGAGCTATGCTTAAAGAACCATAATTTAATTGGTAGTCATAGAAAGTAGGATAAAGCAGAATAAGGAAATGAATCTATAAACCCTTTATGGGCAGTTCAATGGAGAAAGTCCTAACCCATAAATCATTTGCATCATGCTATGGAACATAAACATTCAAACCAGTCCTTCAAGAGCTTCCTTGAAGCAATCCCATGTTATAACAGCATGTGGGACAAGGTAAAGAACAAAAAATATCATCAACAGACTTAAAGGTCCTTCACAGGCACAACATACGCCAACAGAATGTCGAAAATCAGGTGAGATTGAATTCTTTGAAAAGCCTATAGACTACATCATCGTAGACTACATACCACATCTTATTTCCAAGAAAATTATCAGAAAAAGCTGCTCACGTTGACTAAATAAAACAAAAGTATAGTACATAACCAAATAGAACAAATGTAGACACTTCAACAATAATTACAACAACAAAAAAAGTTTTACTCACACAAGCCATGGCTCACCGTCCAGTACAAAATCCTACTTCTGATGCTCCAAATCAAGTCTGAATCATTACTTTAGAACAACATAGGATGTGGGTCTTTGCACACAGAAAGGCAGATAGATATATAGACACGAGAGAGAGAGAGAGAAGAGGGAGATGAGCATCAAGAAGAAGCAACAGAATATACAGGAATTGCAGATCTCCAAATTTAACCACAACCACTCGTTGGAACTCTACTTTGGCAAACACAATGTGCAAGATAGCTAACTTGCCCTTAAGATCTCGAGATACTTAAGAGAGGAAAATGGAACGCATGCAATGTTCCTTATCTGAGGGGTTACTACACCAAAAATCGCTGCACAACAGTTATATCAGCCTGAGGTGAAAAGAGACGAAAGGAAAATAAAAATAGATTGACCACTAAATGCCAAATATCGGCTGCCATGGCTCCAAAATACAAAGAAGATGCATCACAATGCACATGAAACACATTATATAAAACAATACATTGCACATGACAAAATCGTCACAGAATCTATGTGATGAAGACGAGATATCATACAAAGAAGACCCTCTCTTTAATGCTTAGTCCTTCATCCATTCCAGAAACTCGAAGTTGTATCAACCTGCAAAAGATAACCTTGTCCAGTGACGATTATATTTGAGCAAGGAAAACATATATAGCAAGTTGGCAATAGAAATATATACATGAACTCCACAGCTCAGTGGAATCAAATTGTTTGAAGCACAATATTCTTATGATTTATCCCCTAAGGGAGAATACAGGAATTAACTTTGAGAAAGAAAGCATCAAATGCATCCAATTTATATCCCCTGAAGAAGTACTCCAAGACATGGCACAAGAAAAACGCAATCAAGATGTTGTACCTGACTTCATCAGAATACTTCCAAGGCCATAACAAGCTAAACACAGTTGATTTCGAGACCAAATTGCATTTTGGACCAATTTGAACTTTTGTTACCTGCAACTTGACCACAAGGAGTGTTTGATTTTCAGCTTTGAATCTATTTGCAATTGCAATTTGGGCCCCAAATTGAATTTTTATTCAAAACCACTAGAAGTTGTTTTACAAAAATTCAAATTGCTCCGTGCCCCGCTCTCTTGTCCCACCCTCCCTCCCATCACCACCACCACTACCATACCCATTATCATAACCATTACCATGTACCACCACCACATCGGCTGTTCCACCACAACCATCATTACACTTCTGCCACCACAACCACTGCCATCATAATACTACCACTACCACCATCACACTGCCCCCACCATCATCGCACTATCACCACCAGCACAACCATGCCATTGCACCATACAATAACAAATTGTCATTCAAATAAAACAACTAAACCCCCACATAGAGCATGTTCATTGACCAAATTGGCATTTGCTCAATTATAATTTGAAAAGAAAAAAAAGGCCATTTGACAAAATTTCAAATCAGCCAGTGACTAAATGTGCAATTAAAATATACATAGAACATACAAATGTACAATATAAAAATATACATAGAAAATACAAATGTACAATTAAAATGTATGTATATAATATAAAAGAAAATGGAGATTGTACTATTGATTTTCAGTGCCTTTTAAATGCTACATGTTTTCATAGCAAATTGTTCACCACAAAGGAATATGAGACATCCAAATAGAGACATATTGTAACTACGAAACACAAAATGTAAAAGAAAGAACTTAGGCTTCAAATTATTATTCCAATAGTGCCAAACATCTGAAATGCGATGTTACCCTAAATTCTTTTTCCATTCTGAGGTTCTGAGCCGTGGTATATATCCATCCCTTCTAAAGCATGGAAGCAATCTCCCAAGTCAAACCAATCTTTCCTTGACTTTATCTCCATAACACTTCCTCCTTCCTTGCTTTTTCTAATTCATTCAAGCCACATTTTATTCCTCTATGAGCAACAGACGCCAATCAGTTCCCGCTTCTCTCAATTCAAGATATCTATGCATTCACCCTCGCCATCCTCACCGTATCCTCAACCTTCCATTAATTTTCCCAATCAATAAAGTTTTAAATCCACGTTTCCCTAAAAATACTCCACTGAAAAACAATCCACAACTCATTTAGTCTAATACCTCAATTTTTAAATGACGTGGCATCTTAATCAGTCCAAAAAATGTATAAGCTCTGATAAAACGAATGCAAGTCACTAATACCTGTGCCATGCTTGTTCATAACTGAAAATTGAGCTCTTCACAAGCTTCACCTCATGTGCCACAGTTTCATCTGTCATCGTTCGTAAATTAAGTAAGAGCTTGAGGCAAATAAGTTTATTTCCATGTTATGCACCACTGACCTCTCTTTTGTAAAGCAGATAAGAATGATTCTTCAGTTTTGGTGCTGGTGTAAATGACAGAGGGCTTGGCTTGATACTTAACTGAAACACATAGGCAGGAAAAAGAATACATTACGGCAGACAACATCCATTTAGTGGAATAAGTACCAGAGCATTTAAATTTTTGGCTGCCTAAGGTGATTGAACAAGGAATATATGAAAAGAAGTAACTATGATCAAGTGAGCCCAATCCAGAAATTCACCTCAAAAGGATGTGTAGCAGTGCATCAGATGAAAGAACATATATATATATATATATGGAAGAGATTACGCAACACCTATAGGCAAAATGCTACAGTGATGTCGCCTATAGGCTCATCGCCATCCGTTTTTTCAAACTGTGTGGATTTTTCAACTCCTACAAACCTAGCATGTTCGTGGCAGTACCATCAAGGACATGCTATGTCCGTGGCGGTCAAAAAACACGTGGAAACCGCCACGGCCCACGTGCCGTCCGTTGCGGTTTCGTTTGAAATATTGCCATGGACTTAGCAAGTCCGTGGCGGGGCGAAACACTATAGAATTTCCCCCATAGCCGTTTTTTAAGTTTTTCCTATATATATATGGAAGCATCTACACAACGCCTAAGGACGAAAATGAATAGCGTTTTTGCCCATAGGCTCATTACCATCAGAAAAAATCAGGTGGCGTGTGTTTTTCGTCCGCCACAGACCTAGCATGTCCGTGGTCGTACCATCACTGACATACTAGGTCCGTGATGGTCAAAAAAACATGCCGAACTGCAAAGCAAGGCTCCCCGTCGGCTGCGGGTCCATTCAATGAACTGCCACGAGCATAGCAAATCCATGACGATGGCGAAACACTGTAACACTTCACCTATAAGCATTTTTTAAGTTTTTATATATATATATATATAGGGATAATGTAAAATTCACAACCCTTCAAATTACAAAGGTTAATGATAAAATGAATTGTGAAGGGTGAATTTACTAACTTTGTGGCTTTTTCCTTAAAAAACGTTACTTTTTGTGATGTCTTCATCATTAAGTAAGGGTAATTTTATAAATATCACTACAAGACAAAAGGTATTTTTGTCATCTTCATAAAGGATAAAGTTGAAATTTTTACTAAAGGAGAATGGCACTCTACAAATAAAGTTCCAGGACACTAACTTCTAAAATGGCATTGTACTTCTTTAAAAATTTCAAATTTACCTTGTTTAATGATGAAATTACCTATTAAAATAATTTTTTCAACAATAAGTAATGATCTTTTTGATAAATATACCCATTACAACCCCTTCTAACATTAACTTTTGTATTTTGAGGGGTTGTCAACTCTATATATATATATATATGGGAGATACTACAAAACGCCTATAGGAGAAAATGAACAGTGATTTCGCCTACCCTCATCAGCATCCAAAGTTCATCGCACGGTCACGATTGTTCGGTAGTATTTCATTTTTCATTTTTTTTTTACAAATCGGAATGATATGAAATTTGGAGCGTGTATCCATCAAAAATAGGTAGAAAAATATCAAATAAATATTTTACATGAAATAAATTGACCAAAATACCCTCGAAAAGTTTCAAGGGTATTTTGGTCAAAAAAAATTGCTAATTATTTTTTTTATGTTTTTATTAGGTGCGTCTCACTAAGATGTACACACGTTCCAAATTTTAGATCATTCCAATTTGTAGAAAAAAATAAAAGATGAAACACTACCAGACAATCGTGGCCGTGCAATGAACTTTGGACGTTGATGAGGGTAGGCGAAATCACTGTTCATTTTCGCCTATAGGCGTTGGGAAGACTTGTCCAATATATATATATATATATATATATAGCCAGAGATTTAACAAAAATTACTCTAAGCTTGCATACCAAGATCAATCATGGGAAAATCCCCACTTCCATCCTCCCAAGTCTCCAAGACATGAAGTTGACAATCACTGGTATCATAGTAAGCAACTCCAATGCTGAAGAAGCACAAACTCAAGTCAGAAATCATCAATTGTATCATAACAATAGGATGAGATAGCAGTAAAAGTCTGAACAATATGAATTGTCCCATGAGATTTCGATTGCGATAACTCTTCTTCTCTATTAGGGAAAGAGGAAAACTTCCAGATAAATAAGAAATACTACTTTCAGAAAAAGGGTTAGGATACTCCAAAATGATGAAGCCATGATGGCAAAGAATTCAATAATTTATGTGGCTTATAGCCTGCATATCGTTAAAGTTATCATCACATAGTCTCAAGTTCTGTGATAGCATCATATCGAACAGGTTATGTATCATTATGCAATAGCTGATCCATACCAAATTTGCATGAATCAAGGCATGCAAATTAAGGACCAGATGTACAAAGTGGAGATTGCAATGTATCATAAAGTGCATATGCAATATATCTAGAGCATGTATACATGTGTTGAGGGTTATCATTGCTCCATCATGCATTCTTTATGTGTCAATACTACATAGTTTCCAAGCAAATTTAGTTTGTTTTCTTTAGTCTTCTATTATTTTGTGCTACATAAAGGATTAATCAGTATGTTTCAGAATGTGGCAAAATTGGAGAGGCTTTTCCTTATCAAATCAAGGAACAGCATTTCCCACACAGTTTTCCAAATCTAATGCGGCATTAGAATTAACACGTGATTCAGTATATATGGACAGAAATAAAGGCTTAGGTGTAACACTCTTAGAGTAAAGAGATCCTCACCAGCTACTACTTTTTAACCAAATAAGTGTAGCTTCTTGCATCTCACATTCCCGACTCATTTATTTATGGATTCAAAATCTATTTTAAGGAACTTAGTTTTTGGATCTCATAACATCGGTAGCTATCCCACTCAAGGAAAGTGGGATAAGCAGGATCGTTGTCTGGTTACAAGCCATGGAGAAGTGCAAGCCCAATCAAATAAGGGTTTGTCAACTAGTCAACACACTCATATTCTTTAGGTATTCTAAGGAGAAAAAAATATGTCAATCCAAAAGGAAAACAATAAATGCATATCCATCAAAAAAAAAGGAATTAATAAATGCATATCAATAGAGAAAGAGGGCAATAAATATTGAGTACTATGTCTAATAAACTTTTTAAAGGGAAAGAGATTCTTCGATTGGCATCAATCAAAAAGAGATAATTTTAAATTATTCATCATCATCTAAGCCTTATCCCAACCATTTGGAGTCGCCTAAATGAATCACGTTCCGCTATTCTGCTCACAGGTTCAAGATTCATGACAAGATTTCGTAAAGTTTTATGCTTGCTTCCCTACCTAACACAACCCTCCTCCTTTACCCAAGCTTGGGACCAACATGATCGGCTAGGGGCCGGCAAAGGCAGAGTTATGTAGAAAATTTTAAATTCTATGCTCCCAAAATAGGACTTATTGCATGGAATGGTAGCTCCAACTTATTTCACAAATAGTCATGGAATTTTGACTTGCATGGCGCCATCTTTTACAAATGCGTACAAGAGAGAATGATTTCTCTAGATTTACATACATATTTGCTCTCTCTATCTCAAACTTTCAATTTTTTTTTTAAATTAATGCAAGACAAGAAGCTCATTATTTTTTATCTTTTCCATTGAATTTTAAAGATGTGTTTTTGGAATTTACTAAGGTCATTTCTTTTAAGTTTTTAAATTTTTTTTAGAGATTCTATGACTTTCTATATTTTTTAGGATTTTAGGAGATAATTAGAAAAGTGATTGGAAGCCTTATGGAATTACTTTTTTTATTAGGGGTAAAAATGCCATTACGAATTTTCTTTTAAGTGAAGGGACTTATGTCGGTATTTTTATAATACTTTAACTTAAGTATGAGTAGTTTTGATCTTTTTTATTATAATACAATAAAAGGACCTGGGATGTTAGAAGTTCTAACACTTTTGGGGAGTGAAGAGTAAAAACAGACTATGAGTAATGCCAGCAAGCCCTATCTAGGGTTTTTGGGACCACTTTTTTGTACAAGAAAAGCCAGATCCACTCAAATTTGGCATGCTTTGATGGTCATTAAACTGTTTTTTGTTTCTTTTCTCTATTTTCCAGCATTAAATTGGTATCAGAGCCTAGGTGTTCCTCAACAACAAAGCTGAAAATCTACAGCTAAGTCTAAGGTTTGCTGATTTTAGGCTAAGTTTTGCCAAGTCAGCCTAAAATTTGTTGTTTTTGGCTAAGTTTTGTTGGTTCTCTACCTAGGGTTTGTGATTTCGGTGAACCTATGGCAACAAGAAGAGGTCGAGGGAAGGGTGATCATATGGATCCACCTGGTGATAAGCGGGATCAAGGCAGACTATCTATGACAACAAGTTCCAGAACTTACAAGGAGGATTGCAGGCATCGATCGTGGGCAAGACAAAGTTTTGTCTGTCCAAGATGATGTTCAGTACAACCCTTTTCATTATAGTGTTTTACGGGATGACTCGAGTGAAGAGGAATATGATTGGAGGTATGGGCCGCACTCAAAATGTATAGATCTAAAAATAGATATTCCTGATTTTGAAGGAAAGTCGAAGCCCAGCAACTTTATAGACTGGTGAAACACAGCAGAAAGGGTTTTTTATTATAAGGATGTACTAGAGAACAAAAAGGTTTAAAATTATTGCCATTTAATTTGAAGAAAAGTGCTTCGGTATGGTGGAAACAGTTGAGAGCAAGGTGAGAGAGAATGGGAAAGCCCAAAATTAACACTTGAGAAAAGATGAAATAGAAATTCAAGGAAAAATATCTACCTGAAATTGCTACAGTCCCTTTACCACAAGATGAATCATCTTTGTCAAGGAGAAAAAAGTGTGGATGAGTGCACGGATGAATTTCATCAGTTGAGGGCACAAAGTGATGTGCTTGAAAGAGAAGAAAAGTCCCTAGCTTGCTATGTGGGTGGTATGAGAACATCTATACATGATGTGGTAGTTTTGCAGCGTTACTGGACATTGGATGAGTCTTACAACCTAGCAGTGAAGGTTGAAGGACAGCGCCGGTGTCCATCATCAAGGTGGAGGGCAGTCCAAGGTAATACAAGTGGTAGTGGGAGAGAATTTAATGGAAATTTGGTGGCGGAACAATCCTCATGACCTGCTGGCCCGTCCAAACAGCAGGATACAATGGATGTTGGGGCCAGTTCTAGTCACCCAAATCACCTAAATAGTACCTTCACTTAAGTGCTTTAAGTGTTCAAGAGTTGAAAATGTCCCCTCTTGGTACCCGAATAGAAAATTTGTGAACTTTAGAGAGGAGTTCCTCGACGAGGACAGCAAGCTGTCAATTGATAGAGACCCTGTTTATGATGAGGAACTTGAGGTAGAACAGCCAGAAGTTACATTTAGTGACCATGGGGAGACTTTGGTGATCCGGAGCAGTATGATTACGTCCCGAGTAGTAGACGAGGCAGATTGGTTAAACCCAAAGAATTTCTCATCAATTTGCTTCCAAAATCAACAAGTCATTGATTGGGACTCTCCAACAGTCTTTGATGAGTGTTTACATGAAGAAGGTAGTGATCCAATTTATGATCAAGAACCGGGAAAACAAGGAAGCTAACAAAGGTCAAGATGAAGATGAAGAAGTTTTGGAAAAGGAAGTTGTCGATTTGGTTAGTGAACTAAGGGTTGGAGATGATCATCTTGAAGATGCTCCCTTGGTCTATTCTAGGGCTGAACCAAGGCAATTTCAGTATAGTTCAACGGTTGTACTGATGCAATTTCATCTAGTTAATGTGACTGAACCAAGTGTATGTACCTATGATTATTCCATCAACATATAATTGACCCTTTCCTTATGGAGTATTTATGGATATATCAACTGATTGCAAAGACTGAGTTTCAGTGCAAACCGTTGTGTTTTGATTAGTTCAATAACTCACAAGTCCCAGAATCGCATTTTTACTATTCGGGTTGAAGGAGGTTGCAGGACTAGCTCAAAATTCATCTTAGCTTATTTCAAAACTCGATGACGAGTTTTCTCCAACCAGGGGAGAATAATGCAAGACAAGATGCCTCTTGTTTTCGAGTTTTTCCTATTGAATTTTAAGGATGTATTTTTGGAATTTTCTAGGGTTATTTTTTTAATGTTTTTAATTTTTTTTAGAAATTCTATGACTTTTTATAATTTTAGGATTTTAGGAGATGTTTAGAAAAGTGGTTGGAATACTTATTGAATTATTTGTTTTATTAGGGGTACAAGTGTCATTATGAATTTTCTTTTCAGTGAAGGGACTTATGTTGGTATTTTATATCGTTTTAACTGAGTAGGGGTAGGTTTGATAATTTTTATCATAGTGTAATAAAAAGGCCTGAGGTGTTAGAATTTCTAATACCTTTGGGGCATGAACAATAAAAACAGAATGTAAATAGTGCCAACAAGCTTTATCTACGGTTTTGGGTCTCTTTTCTCTGCCTTCCTAAATTAGTAATTGAAATAAAGAGAGGTACGTAAAGAGGGCTATTCTTATGATTTGACTAAATAATTTCCTTTATTGTTTGTACAATAAAAGATTGCATAAATATCTTTTCTATATCATTGTGAAGGTGTTACATATGAAAAGACTCAACCTTAACGCCTTCAAATTTTATCTTAAATATAATTTTGGTATAAAAATTTCTTAGGATGGATTGAGAATCTATTTTTATCGCTAATTATAAAATTTCGAACTCCAAAAAAGATTCAAATGAATAATATCTATAAACATATGAAAATCTTGAAAATGGATGGTCCGGATAATGTGATGCAAGATAAACTATTTTTGAAACTTGAATTTTTTTCTTTTATATTCATACATCGCTATGGTGAGATGATTAATTAGAGGGTTTTCCAACATAAAAACAACTTTTAATGATGGATTTTTGACGTGCACCTTAATTCTACATTAACATTGCAACCAAAAGTTGTTGAAGGCGGGAGCGAGATCCATTCGGGATTCGCCGAACCACCATTTAGTGGAAGCTCCCTTGGGGTTAGGATCGGCATCT